TCACTCTTACCGTGCGTAACACATAATGAGTGTGTGACTGGGCTTGTCTCCATTTCTGCACGTGAATTAAAGAAAAAAGAAAAAAGGCATTTGCAAGCCAGATGCTGCAGGAGTGCAGGGCCAGCAGGGAGGCTGCTTGGCTGCAGCTTTAACGAGGCATTACTGAGATGCCGCAGGTACAGCGTGACATGGAAGCCGTGTACACAAGTGGGAGAGAAATTGATTCAGGCAGACACGAAGTTGCATAACATCAGAGCTCTGCTACAGGACATCCAGTAATTCGGAAAAGATTGTTTAAAAAAAACAATAGATTAGCTTCTTGGATCTGTGATGACTTCATTTTAACACAAGAGAATTTTAATTTTTTTTTCTATTCTTACAGGTTCCATTTCATAACTGACGCAAAAGTATTTTGATGCAAGATATTTAGATGTTTTTAGCTGCTAAACTTTCCTCCTTGCTTACATGAGCATTCTTAGCATGGATGGCAGAGAGATGTTATCCAACAGCACAAAGGTATCTAGCCAGAGAGAGAGAGCAGACATCTGGGATCACCTAGGAAAAGCAGCAGTGGGAAATTAGTTTTAAATAGTTCATCTCCACTTGCAGCAGAGCACAAATCACTCTTTGCACCACAGAGATGAGAATTACATTCAGACTTGCTCTGCCTGGTCCTGCTGCTGCTCCTGTATCCCACCATTTACACACCAGCACTGAGAGTCCCCTTTACATTTCCTTCCAGACTCTTGCCTGGAGCACCTCTCCAGGGCACACAGGAGATCAGGCTGTGCTCTTTGAGCTGTGTGTCTGACAGCAGGACTTGTGGTCTTTAGTCAAGAATCTGAGATCAAAAAACACTTCCCCAGACTAATAGAAATCAGGAATAAAAAAATAGAAAATAACATCCTGCGTTCCTGCAGAAGCCAAGCAGTCTGTTCCAACAGAATAATCCTTTCACAAGGACATTTCCATTTCCTTCCTTTATGCACTAAGAAAAAAAGCCCACCTTGACTGAAAGCAACATGCTAACTTAACTTCAATGTAGAACCCTAGAATCATAGAATGCTAGGTCTTCAAAAGACCTGCAATGGACTGGTCTTTATGCAATCCCCATCAGAACACACACACTTCAGCTTGAATTAAAATTCAGACATCACTGTCCCATAATTCTTTGAACATCTGCATTATTCTGGGATGACAGTTTGTCTTCTGTCTCCTCTTAAATAGCTGCTATCACCTACTCCCTAAAACAAGGTATGTGTTAGCAGGTCATTAACCTGATGCTGCCATATATGGCAGCTGCTGCTCCTCACAATTTCAAAAATTATTTTAAATGCCAAAAAAAATTCCATGCTGGTGCTGGTTTTGAACCATTTCTACTATTTCTTTTTACTTTCTTTGGACAACTACGTAGTAGTGCAAGTTCTCCATGCTCTGCTTTTCTGGACAGATGGGAGAGGCCTCAGGGCTTTGGTGACAGCTGAACCACCACACACAGGAGGCCACCCTCTGGCAACCCTCTGGGATATGATTTGGGGTTGACAGTGAAGCATGAGGGGCTGGATCTGGGTCTTCACCCTGTCATGAAGACCCCCATCTGAAACCAAGGATGCTCTTAGCCTACCCATTACATTCCAGGCTGCTCTTCTGTTTACATGGGTGTTTCATACTTATTTCCTTCTCCTTTTGTGGATATAAGCTGATTAAAAGGTGAAGTAAAGTTCATGTGACCCCACTCTAGAGAGACATCACTTGATAGGCAGGGACATAATGAACATGAGTTTGACCAGGGCTGTGGCCAGGAGGTGCCCATGATCACTTCCCAGTCATCATGATTTTTAATATTCTGAAATAACAGGTATGCAGGACACTGATGCAGCCTTCACTGGGGCTGGATCTGGTCTTTTTGCCATACCAGGTGTACCGAGGTGACTTCATCTCTGCCCAAGAAAGCCCAGAGCACAGGGGTTCTCCAGCCTCAGACTTGCACAGAGCTGCTGTGCCAGCAGCACTGCAAAACAGCCTCACCAGCAGATAAAGGGCTTCACATCTCTCATTGATTTACAGCTTACAATTACTCTGTATCCCAGGGTAAATATTAGCTTGCACAAGAAAGAAATGAAACTCCACTCAGGTACTCACCACTGAAGAAGTCCTTTCCCATTTATTCTGATTCAGCAAAGTACTGAATTCCCATTGCTTCACTGGGAAGTATGCACTGAAGTGCTTTCCTTTGGCAAAACAACTCAAAGTTTTGATGAATCAGGCCTTCCAACTTGACTTTTTTTCTTCTCCACCACATCAGTGGGCCAGAACGTGACTCTGATACTTCACATGAAGGTTACATCCCACTCTGCAGAATATCTCCAGACTCTTGTGGTGCAACCAGCTCCTCACTTAGCATTCAGGGAAACATACCTGGGCATGCAAGCACAAGATGCACAACATCACTCTACAATTTCAAGTGCAAGAGTCCTTGATTTTATGGATTAGCAACAGAGAAAGCCTAAGTTATGAAAAGAGGAAGATTCTTTAAATTGAAAATGTAAATGCACTTTCACCAAATGAAGAGCATTTATCTTGGCTGGAAATTTTGTCTTAGCTGAAAGTGCATCCAATTCACTTACTCCATTATTTCAGAATAAAAAATAAGAAAAGTGAAGGTTAATGAATCAAGGTAATGAATTATAACTGAGCCAGGAAAAAGCCTTCCAGCACTGAGACACCATGCCTACCAAGGCTCTCATCCTTCTCTTTTCTTTCTCCTCTAACTAAGGCCCTTGTCTTTGTGTGTCACACAAAGTCAGATTCAGTGCAGTTCTATGTACTGGTCCAGTCTTCAGACTCTTTTATATGGAACCTCTTCTTGCATTAGCTGGGCCCTTCCAGAATGCAGAAAATGTCTATTTATTATTTTTGCAAATATTTACTACTTCCTGAAATCAGCCTTCCAATAACATACAGTCAGAACCTGGCCAGGATGCACACTAAACTGCCATTCCCCTACACAGACTCCGAGCTGCTTCAGCCCATGTCTGGGTCTGCAAGTGTAGTGTCCAGAGGTGAGGCTACTTTAGCTTAAGTTCTCAGCATCTGGATTTCTGAAGCATAGAATCTCCTCCCCAGCTGCTAGGCAGACTTTTACTGAAGTTGCAAGTGAGTCAAGGACTAACTCCAATACTGATGGATTTCTATCATTCTATTTAGATCTAGTAGTACTTACTACCAAGAACTTGTTCTACTCTTCAGAAAACTGAGTACATTCCAGGGAAAGGTTTGGCTGATTTTAATTTGCTAGCTTCATATTAAGAACCGGCCCTTAGACAAGTTACAGTTTAAAGTCTCTGATCCATGTGTTTCTTACAACAGATTCCAGCATGTGGTCATCTACCTTGCCTTATGGTGGGGGGTAATGGCCAGTGTAGATCACCTAACAACCTACTAAGCAGCTGGCAGAGAAAAGAAGGCAACACGACTAAGGCAGGATGGAAAGCAAGACCTCTGAATTCAGCCTTTAATCTCTTAAATCAGTGCTGGGCAGTTCTAAAGATGAGGCAGCCAGAAGTACAATTCAACAGAGTTAAATATATATATATATATGTATGCATGTGAATGACAGGGGAAATCACTGTGAGCAACCTCCAAGCTCAGCCCATGCTCCTGAGAAAAGTTGAGCTGATCCAAATGGGTGACAGTGTAGAGAACTACAAACCTAACTTTAGGTGTCTATTTTTGATGGCTGGCGGATAAATTCAAATTGGAAACAAGGGTTAAGCAGCAGAGAAAATTTAATCATGGAAGCAGCTTTCTAGATGTGAAGGACCTCACTGAATCACAGAATCACAGAACCCCCAAGGCTGGAAAAGACCTTCAGGCTCATCAAGCCCAGCCTATGACCAACACCACCACAGCAGCCAGACCATGGCACTAAGTTCCACATCCAGCCTTTCCTTGAACACCTTCAGGGATGGTGACTCCACCACTTCCCTGGGCAGTCCATTCCAATGTCTAATGACCCTCTCCATGAGGAAATACTTTCTAACATCCAAGCTAAACCTCCCCTGGAGCAGCTTCAGGCCATGCCCTCTTATCTTGTTGCTGGAAAAAGACCCCAGTCCCCACCTCACTCCAATCTCCCTTCAGGGAGTTGTAGATGGTGAGAAGGTCCCCTCTGAGTCTCCTCCAAGCTGAACAACCCCAGCTCCCTCAGCCTTTCCCAGTACGAATTTCCCTCTGGTCCTTTCACCAGCCTTATTGGTCTCTTCTGGACCTGCTCCAGCACCTTCAGATCCTTCTTGCAGTGAGGGGCCCAGAACTGGACACAGGACTCAAGGTGAGGCTGGCTACAGGCGGAGAATCACACGTCTGCTCCTGCTGGCCACACTATTCCTGGTACAAGCTAGCAGTGTGCCACCGGCCTTCCAGGCCACCTGGACACACTGCTGGCTCGTGTTCACCCAGTTGTCAACAACTATTCCCAGGTCCCTCTCCATCAAGTTGAATCTTGAGGTAGGCTTCCACTTTGGCGAAGCCAGCATTCTCTAATGCCACCTTGTTCTTCTTGAAGTCACCCTTTAAATCTAGAGTTGCTTTATTTCTACAAAACATGGCATAGCTGAGCAGTGTGATAAAATCAGGTAGAATACTATGAAAATACTATGGCACAAGGCTCAATGGTTCCTTCTGTTCAACTCTATGACTTGGACTTGATGATCTTTAAGGTCTTTTCCAATCAAAATGATTCTATGATTCTATGAACTGATGGAAGTCTGGAACGACAGCACAGACTCTCAAGACCACATGAAGAAGGAATGTGCTCATGGAGATGAGAATATCAGGTGTTAAAGTAAGGATTCTCCCTTTTCTTGGTCCAAAATAACACGTGGTGAACAATAATATGTAGTAGAGAGAATAAACAGTGACCAGTAAGAGACATTCTAATTAACTGTCTCTTTTTTTCCTTTTTTTTTTCTATCCCTTGAATTTTTCCCAAACATCAGAACATCAAGATGGAAAACATTGCTGATGCCAGGATAGAAAACAAGGGGGAAAGGAAGCCAATAAAGCAGAATGCACTTACCAAAGCTGGGAAGAGAGTCTGCAGAGCTGTTGGGTACATCAGTGGAGATATGAAGGAATTTGGAACCTGGCTAAAAGGTAAAGATACTTAATCATTACTAACTGGGTGATTCTAAAGAAGAATTGTATCAAAAGTGTAATAACTAACTTCTCAGTAATGTGATTGAAGTTAGACAAGTACACAAACTACCTCTGCCTTGATTTATTTCTGGTTTGGGGGGGGGGGGAAAGCAGTTTTGTGCAGCAACCCACGTACCACTTAAATCTTGGGTATGACTGAGATGACAGTTACCTCCAAACACACCATGTACAAAGTGAATTTAATCCCACAGAACATGGCCCAGGATGGTTATTCTGTGCTCTGCCATTCTTCATAACACTGCCTGTACTTTCAGCTGCACAGTTTATGTCAAGCCTAATGCCACTGTGAAGTTAAATTATACATAGGAAGGTGTGTTTTGTCCCCATAATAAATCAGCAGTGGGATACACATACCCATCAGAGGCACAGACATCATAAATTAGTCAGTTCATATGAAAACAGTCCAGGACACTTCATAACAGGGGAGTCTGGCAACCACACTGTTAATGTCAGCTTTCCAGATGTAAGACTTTAGTACAGACCATAATAAATCCCAGTCAGGTTTTGCAGTCTTTTTAATTCATTGCTTCAGTTGTGCTGCCAAGTTCCACTGCCAAAACAATTCCTGAATTTTTAAAAAAGCAACATCCCAAATCAGTGTCACCTGCATATTCTGATGTGGGGTTTTTCTTATTGTTTAATTTGATCTCTCCCAGATAAACCTCTCATGATCCAGTTTATTGACTGGGTGCTGCGTGGGATATCCCAGGTGATGTTTGTCAACAATCCCCTCAGTGGGCTTATAGTAGTTGCTGGTTTCCTGGTGCAGAACCCATGGTGGACACTCACAGGCTGTTTAGGAACAGTTGTCTCAACTTTAACAGCACTTATCCTGGGTCAGGACAAGTAAGTCCATCCTTTATCCTTTCAAAACCAGACTGTCCCTTCAATGCTGTCTTATTTGTTAAAGTATTTAACTTTCATTGGCTGTAAAGCTGGTCTGCTAGGTCTCGAGAGATCTTTCCACCACCTGCTTCTGGTGGAACGGGACACTGGTGAGGTACGAATGGGTGTCTTCTCCCTAGTAAAAAGCAACAGGAAAAGAGGAAGTAGCCTCAAGTTGCAGCAGGGGAGGTTTAGATTAGATATTAGAAGGAAATTCTTCATTGAAGGGGTAATTAAATACTAGAATAGGCTGCCCAGGGAGATGGTTGAATCACCATTCCTGGAGGTGTTTAAAAGATGTGCAGATGTGGTACTGAGAGAGATGGTTTAGCAGTGGACTCTATAGACTTAGGTTATGGTTGGACTTCATGATCTTAAAGGTCTTTTCCAACTAGAACTGTTCTGTGATTCCATGGATGTATCTGCAGAAGGGGTAGATGCTGAGAGGCCTCAATCGTGTGAAACTGAAGGTTGATGCGTGAGCCTTGGCAGGTCGTCATCACACAGAGCCATAATTACATGGGGAGGGAAGGGTTGATATGAGCAACACACCTGTGGGGGAGATTTCAAGGCAGTTACTTTCTTCACACAGATCAGCCATAGCAGCAGGCCTGCATGGCTACAACGGGGTCTTGGTGGGAATGCTCATGGCCATCTTCTCTGCTAAGGGAGACTACCACTGGTGGCTGCTACTGCCAGTAGCACTGGTGTCCATGGTGTGGTAAGTTGGATGGCTCCTCTGCTTCTTATTCCATCCCCAGTTTCCCCAAACTGAGACTGAGCTGTTGAATTTTTATGCACTGTACACACTACCATGGAACAGAAACACAAATGGCACATATGTGCTACTAAGTCTCTATCATTGTATGTTCAGACTTAACTGTAATCCAAATACAAATAAATAGCCCAATAACACAATGAATGCAATGGGGAAAAGGAAAACTCAGGGCTGATCATATGGCATTCAGTGCCTTTTTAGCCATATTGCTGTGATGCATCAATTAATTTTTGTCTCTTGATGAATATTATTTTCACTATTCCCTACCACTATCAACCACAAGTGTTTAATCTGTTTAAGTTACCATGTAAAAATGTCAAGAAAATTTACCTCTCCAAACACAGAAGCTGTTCAGTGCTCCCAAGAGATGACGGTTGATACTAATGAAAAGAAACAATACTTAACTCATATTTACTCATATAATCCACTAGGTATTTGGAGAGCAAAAATTTTGAAAGCTGGGCTTTGACCCCAAAATGTCTATTTGGAGATTTCTCCACATGTATCATCTGTCTTTCTGAAGATCGTGTGGTGTTATACTCACTTTAAAAAGCACAACTTTGATGTCAGCCTTTATTTCTGATCCATAAGTTTGAACGAGGACACAACATCCCCCATCCCAGTTCACCCAAACCTGGCATCGATGTCACAAACCTGGCATGAATGTCATAAACTCAGTTCATTGAATCACTCAAAAAAAACCCCCAACAAAAACAAAAACATTGAGTCTGAGCAGGCGAATAACTCCATTAAATCCCTGGAGTGGCTCCTTCATGGTCACCAAATTCACCACATATGTTGTTGCATAACATAAGTTCCTAACTGCCTTGGGAAGAGTAGGAAACTAAAAAAAAATAAATTAAAAATAGAGTTTCCTGCAGTTGTTGTGGTTTTTTGCTGTTGGGTTTTTACCTTTGACTAGGTGACAAGTTCCTAGTGAGAACATTTTGTTCTTCTTTCAGCCCTCTTCTCACCAGCACTGTAGGCTCAGTTTTCTGTAAGTGGGATCTGCCTGTTTTGACCTTGCCTTTCAACTTGGCCTTGACCCTCTATCTGGCTGCATCAGGACCACATAACCTCTTCTTCCCTACAACTGCCATTCAGCCAGAAACAGCAACACCAAACATCACCTGGGCGGATGCTGAAATTCCAATGGTATGGTGTCCTGAAGATAACAACCTTATCAATTTACAAAGAAAACCACCATAGAATCATCTTAGCTTCATTTATGTCACTGCATTATGTCCTAGCAATACAACCTTGCATTTATAAGACAGTTATTATCCAAAATATAAAGGTTTGCTCTAGGAATTGACAGTATTGATAGCTTGCAAATGAGAATCTCTTTGGTATGTTTCATTTGCTGTTGGATTGAAATGCATGTATTAAAACCTTCAAGGAGTCTCTAGAATCTAATTACCCATTACTGCTCATACACTGATCAGGACTCCACAGCTAAGATTGTGCTGACACTACCAGTTAACTCACAGGTTAATTTTAGTTTCCCACTTAGTGAGGGATGTGCTTTTAAAATTGCACCTTCCTGATTAGAAATGAGCACATAGGAATTACTGTAGAAGAGTGGTTACCACCTTGGGTGCAGCCACACGCTGTCATGTTTTTAACTAATATTCAGCTGGGACCTTTCCAAAGAAGCATTTTATCCTCCTGTATAACAGCATAAACAATATAGGTACTAGAGTAGTAGCTTTCCCCTAAGGCTCAGCAGACTATTTGGAGGGGTTCCCAGGGAGTGATTAAGAAAAGGAAGTTCATTGACACTAAAGAGCAATTCACACAAGTGACATTTCTCAAATGATGTTTACTGTGGTGTATAATTTTATGTGACCATAAATCATAGAATCATAGAATGGTTTGGGTTGGAAGGGACATTAAAGATTACCTAGATTCAAAGCCTCTGCATGGGCAGGGACACCTCCCACCAGCCCAGGTTGCTCCAAGCCCCATCCAACCTGCCCTTCAACACTGCCAGGGATGGGGCAGCCACAGCTTCCCTGGGCAACCTGTGTTGGTGTCCCACCACCCTCATAGCAAAGAATTTCAAGTCTCAAAACTATATTTAAGCTGTGACCAAGATAGGCTCTCTCCCAGCAAGCCAGCAACTTCCCTTCATATTCCTAGTGAATCCCAAATGAGGTTCAGGTATATAAGTAGATCAGGATTTTTGCTTTACCTGAGTAAAATCTTGTCATTCTGGCCAGGCTGTTATTGGCCATTTCACCCTTGGATCAGCCTGTTCAGAGGCATATGTCCTCTCAAATTCATCATCTACCTGAGCACTTCCATCTTCTGATCCCTAACAGCATGCAAAAATGGCCAATACAGCAGCACATGTAAAGATGATGAGTAAACCCTTTCACAAGACATTTGCCTTTGATATTAATGCTAAAAACCTGGCAGAGGAGCTCGTATTTTCACTGAAGGGTAAGCCCTGTGGAAATGCCCTGCTACATCCTGAGAAGTGTTCAAACTTTCCACTTACATTCCAGAAAGAGAGACTGCATCCAGCAAATGCCAAACATGAACCTAACTGAGAAAAGTAGGGTCTTTTAAAAAAAGAAATTTAATTACAAAACCGATAACACATTGTCTTCTTTTTTTAATATTCCTTCAGCTCCTGCAATCCATTCCAGTTGGAGTGGGTCAAATTTATGGATGTGACAACCCCTGCACTGGGGGAATCTTCCTGATTGCTTTATTTATCTCTTCTCCACTCATTTGTCTGCATGCAGCACTTGGATCAGCAGTGGGAATGCTGGCAGGTAAGGATCTGACTTGTGTCATGGATTTATGTAAGACCATGAAGAGTAAAAGAGGAACCACAATGAGAGGAGCACTTACAGTCACAAATGTTTCTTCTGTTGGAGAACTGACTTCTTAAAAGAAAAAAATATATATACACTTCTATTCTAAGAATTCCTCTGATTGACATCCCCATTCTCATACCTCATTTTACAATTATGGAAATCTTCAGAAGAAAGATGTGGTTTTTTGGCTGAAACGCATCTTTGTTATTTCTGGGTATATTCTGATGGTTTTTAGGGGCAGCTTAATAAAAGCCATAGCCAGCAGCCTGAATGTGCAGGTCTCAGGGATGCATTCAGAGTTCTTATGCATACTCATTCTCTCATGCATCCTCTGCTGAAATGGCCTGGCCAAATCCAGCTCAGCAGCAGCAGGGAAATTTCGCTGCAATTATCAAAGTGTCTTGTGTCTCAGACAGCAGCAACATGACCATGAAACAGGAACTCCATGCACGTATGCAGGGGAGAAACCCTTAAAAACCTGTATTCAGACCATTTCTGGGCTGCTTTGATCTCTATGGATGAGTAATGACACGACTTTGACTTCTTTCCCAGCGCTGAGCTTAGCAACACCTTTCAGCACGATCTACTCTGGCTTGTGGGGCTACAACAGCTCCCTGTCGTGCGCGGCCATCGGGGGCATGTTCTACGCCTTCACCTGGCAGACACATTTGCTGGCCATCGCCTGTGGTACGTACCCTGCAGGCTTACACTTGTTGCCACACTTCCTTTTGAAGTGAAGGGTGAGGACGTTTGCACTGGATGTGGGCTGAAGCCAGGCAGCCACCCCCAGGCAGGGAGGTGGGCTCAGGCGAGGCTGATGAATGATGGAGGTGGATGCTGGAGCCGTTGCTTTGACCCACCAGTGAAAGCTCAGCCAAGAGTTGTGTCCAAAACAGGGTGTAATCAGTGGGCGTTGGTTAACTAAGGTCTTCAAAATTAGAAACTTAATTTTGAGGCATTAATTGTGCTTGTTCAACATTTCTAGGTGAATCTCATTGTTTTTTTTCTGATCACAGACAACAGCTCAAATTCCTTCTTTAGAGAAGGATATATCTAAACTTTGAGAAAACTAGAACTCAAGATCAGTCCATGCCTGTAGTTAGACAGTTCCCAATCTATTGAAATGGATACCAAAAGCATGAGCTAGGCAGCACAGAATGATGGAAGAATTATTTATAAGGCAATTCCATACGAAATTTCAATATCACAGTGAGCTGGGAGTGAAACTACTGCTCATTCAGTGTTCATATAAAAAAGATATAGCTTTGTATCTCATTGACCCACCTTCTAGCCCTAGAGGCAAGAGAGATTGGGGTGGAAGGGTTATTTTCCTACTTAATCCCATCCATCATGCTACATATTTTCCATGCCAGTGCATTTTTCAAAAACCTTTATTTCCATAGTCCCATTCTTCATAATTCCAATTCTTCTTTTTGTATAGCCTTCTGCCCTTTCTTGTCCCCTTTAAGAGGGGCTACCCAGGCATGGTCATAAACATTGGTTGAACTACCTAAGGCAGTGTGAAGGATGTTTGTCCTTGCTGGTCTCCTCCATGAACAACTGAACTCACAAGGAACTACTTTTCTTTTTCACAGCACTCTTCAGTGCCTACCTGGGAGCAGCACTGACTAACATGTTGTCTGTGGTAAGTAGTGTTACCTAACGTCTTTTTTTCCAAAGATAGATGTGAACACTGCATATTTTCCTGGCTTTTGAGGCAAAACACCAAGACTCAGATATAATTCAGCCAAAGGCAGAGCTAGTCTGGGAGAGGGGACGCACTCTGCCCAGGGAGTTGCTGCTGCTCCCACTGAAGTAGCCCACTTGCAATCATTCACTTGCATGAACTTCCACAGCTCAGCCAACACCTTTGAGATAATTATATGCCTATATTTTTTGTCCGAAGCAACTGAGAACACATGTAAAGAAGCCTCAAATTTGGTTAATTAATTTGCCCAAGCACCAAAATGCAGCCAGTACAACAGCACAGGGAAAAGCTGAATGTTTCTGGTGCCCACTACTGTCTCCTCTCCATCCAAGCCTAGTGCAGATGCACAAAGTGAAGGCACATGTTGCAAGCTAATGCACAATGTCCAGATTTAATCATGAAATCCTGTCTCTCCAAGGAGGGATTCCATGCAAAATCAAGTCAAGACTTTCTTCAGAAAGCTTATTCCATGCTACCTAGCATTACCTAACCTAGTGTTTTTCAAGGGCTGGGGGATCAAATAAAAGGAAGACACATCTTAAGTAAGTGGTCTGGTTTTTTTTCTTTGCAGTTTGGGGTGCCATCAGGAACATGGTCTTTCTGTTTGTCTGCGTTGACTTTCCTGTTAATAACCACTAACAACGCCGCCATCTACAAGCTGCCTCTCTCCAAAGTCACCTATCCAGAAGCCAACCGAGCTTACTACCTGAGGATAAAGAAAAATCAGAGGTCTTGTTGTGAGGTATAAAGACCTCTATAAATCTGCTACTTTGCAGATTTTAAGGCAAGAGCACAAGATGTTTAAAAAAAAAAAAAAAAAAAAAAAAAAAAAAAAAAAAAAAGAAAAGAAAAGAAAAGAAAAAAATATAATAATCACCATCTTCTGAATGGAGATACTTTTTCCACGGCACTTGTTTGTTGTGTCCTGACTAGATAGGACTGTGCTGTGTTGTGCTGTGCTGGAAGGACCTTTCCCAAGACCAGTATGTACTGATTTAAAAGCACATATTCCTTAAAAGACACTTGAATTTCAAGAAAAATTGAAAAGAAAAATGTGTTTGTGAACTCAGAGTCACAGCAATTCGATGCCAAGCGACAAGGAGCAGACCATCCCTCATCATCTGATGAGACTCCTAATTAATGGCTAAATCCAGCTTAAAATATCAATAGGATACGTCTTAGAGAGATTCAGTGTAGCAGAGAAGTGGAACAAAGCACGTCCTTTGCTAAGTAGAAGTTAGGTGGTGAAGAATTCTACTTGGACGATCTCTCAAGCTGAGTGGAGAGTGATGTGTGCCAGCAATCATCACACATGAGATGAACACTGATAAATTGCAGACAACGTTGCTAACGCAAGACTTGTGGTAAAAATCACAATAGGGGCAGTGAGGGAGTGTCTGTCAGCTCCAGCTTTTGTATGTTTAATTCACCCTTGGCTCCAAAGCTTTGTTGAAAAAAATGTTTCAGGTCTACCTAGTTGCATAAAAATAATAATAATAATAATCTATAAACCCAAGGCCAGGAAAGGAAATACTAAACTCTTTTTCTTAATACTTGAACTTAGTCATGGGTTTGCAATGGAGGGGAGAGCAGCAGTGTTATTGCTGCCCCTTTCCTAGTTCAGCCTGTGCACAAGTGGAACTCATTCGAGCTGAATTTCATGACCAACCCCTCTGCACCAGCCCCCTCAGCACGTAAATACCCAGCAGAAAAATGCTGGGTATGGTCCCAGCCTGCTGCTAAAGTTGCTGCTCTGCCATTTCTCTCCACCCCACTATGGGACTGGGATGGTTGGTGGGCTGATGCATATTAGCAGAGCCCTGCAGAGCCTTGCACCACCTCTGCACAGGCTATGGGGTCTGCAAGTAGGGAAGGAGGAAGCTGGCCTTGACCCCAACAGGTTGGTCACCTCAGTGGGTTTTATCTCAGCCATCTTTCTGTCTGGCTCATCGAGGCCCTTTATCCCATGATGAAGCTGGCATCCCCACCATAAATAGTCTATATGCTCAGGTTCTTCAGCTGGCATTAGCCTACATGCAGTAATGTCACAGAATCACACAATGGTTTGGAAAGGACCTTTCCAGATTATCTAGTCCAACCCCCCTGCCATGAGCAGGGACATCTGAACTAAATCAGGTGCTGTTTCTGCTGGGTAAGTAGATCAAAACCTGTTCATCTTGTGGAAGAGGAAATAAAAAGTAGCCTGTGAATAGTGTTACTGCTGATTTTTGAGGGTAGGGAAAAAAACATCTTTTTACTATTACCGAAAGGTCTGAGTGAAAAATATTTGGGATTAACTGCTGGCAGTATTTTCTAATGAAGTGCTAGGTTTTCAGATGTTTGACAGTATTTCTGTATGACTGAAACTCCAGAGATTACTTGTAAAATGTACCATTTGCTGTGTATTTCTTGGTAAATATCTTCGTCATATTGTGTGGAGCTGGGTTTTCAAACAAATAATATCATAGGATCATAGAATGGTAAATATTCATGGTTTTAAGAGTTTTGTATACATTTTTCTCCATTTATCATCACTAAGCTCTCCCAAAGACTCGTCATCTTGTAAATAAGTAATCTAGAAAACACTGGGAAAAAAAAATTGTGAACTGAGTGTATGGGGATATCTGGGAAACTTTTAGCTTCTGCTCTTTGTACATATGGTGTTTTGCTGCATCAATAACTTATTAAATGTATAAGTGCAAAGTCTGCTTCTGTGCAGGGGGCAAGATGATCTGAAGGCACAGTGTTGTGCCTGCAGAGCTACAGCTGGGGCTGGAAACCTCCTGGAGACCAGATGAGGACTTTTTCCAAGAGGAGATGCTGGAGGGGGCCCCAAGATTGAGGTTAGATAGGGTCATATTCTGTGCAGAGGATGCAGCTCTCCACTTGTCAAACTTTGATGGGAAAGGGTATATTTTGGTGTCTGAACTGACATCCCCCCACCTAGCACCATGTGCACCCGAGACAGACAAACCTACCAGGGATAACTTTCACTCTCATGTCAAAATCTGCACTCAGGTAAGAGCCCACACTTTATGACCAGTGTAAATCAGCAGATCTTCTCTGACTGCAGCTATTTCAGCTTGCTGTTGCTGAGCAACAGGGACATTTTGGCAGTGCTGTAAAGAAACCATATGCACAGAACCGGAAAACAACAAAAGATTAACAGCCATGTCTCAGCCATTAGAAAGACTTTCCATGTCATTCAGAATTAATTCTTCATTGTACACTATGCAGAAAAGTCATTCTTCCCATCAACCCATGCCAAATAACAGTTATTTGGTAATTTGACATGCATGCAGAATATGCATAGCATTTTTTTTTCCCATTATTGTTCATAATGCAGATTTTGCTAACAGGATTGATTTGTCTTCTTACTGAAACTGTACTCTTTTATTTTCTTTTTCCCCTTCCCTTTGTATCAAATAAATGTTATTCAAGTTGTACATTTTTTCCAGCACTTTTATTCCATTCTTGTTTTTGCCATCTGGGTGATAGCAAAATCCTAAGAAACATTTATGCAGGGCAGGAGTTCTGGGGCTTTTTCCTGGGCTACCTTCTTCCCAGTACCATAGCAAAAGGGATGGTATTGTGTTTAACATTTATAAAATTAATTTTTGCTTTTATTTTAAATTAATTTTTTAAAAAAAAATCACAAAAAAATAAATAATACCACCACACCAAACCACTTGGAAACAATGACAAATGCTTGGAAAACTGATTTCATCCAAAAGTCTGACTCAAATTAACTACTGCACTGCAATTTCCTCAGCCACTCTCTTTGCTTCTGTCTGATATGTTCTCTCCAAGACTCCCAGTTCTACTCTGAGCCCCAGTCTCCACCATTATACACTGGAATTTCTCCTGCCCCCATACTCCTGCTGTGGCTCAGCTGCCCTCTGGTCCTGCCTGCAGCCACACATCTCCCAGTCCCACATGAGCTTTGCTGTCACCTGAAGACCAGAGCCAAGAGTCAGTTGAATAAGCAGGACTAAAACCAGGAGGAATGAGTTTAGCACAGAAGAATTCTGGATGCTCAATTGTGAGGACATACATCAATATAGTATCTTTTATCAAATCATCCAGGATAGTAGAGGGTTTGGTGTGTTTTTCTCATGTTGTACATGAAATATGAAGAGAATAAAGAATTATCCTGATGATAACTATCTAATCTTTTGAATCTTGACATTTAGTATAAATGGTAGGATTTGGCCTTTGGAATAATTCACCTGTTAAGAAAGATGCTAGTCAGGAGGAAGCAGGAATATCCATTTAAAAGAAATACTTGATTATCTACCCTTCCCTCAGAGTCTAAGCATTGCAAAGACCACTATGGCAAGTGAATTGTGAGACACAAATAAACACCTTTCTGATGCTTCTCTTTGTCTTGCCGTGGAAATCAGGAGGCAAGACCTCTGCTGTTTCCAGCAGTTCAGCCTACTTGAGGTTTTGAATGGCATGAGCAAACCACGTAACTCTCAAAGCAAAAGCACCCCAGGGACTTTAAATGGTCACTCTGCTTATTCTCAAAAGCACAGATAGACCAAGGTAATTAGTTTCTCACGCATAGAACCCGAAAGTGTTTAAGCAGGAGTTGGAAGCCTTAATTTTTCACAGAACAGGGCCAGCAGACTCTGGCTTAAGTCCCTAAAGGCTCATCTATACCGGTACATTAAAAGGAACAAGTGCTGGCACACAGACATCCATCCTCCTTGACTGAGCTGACACACCTTGGCACAATCCCAGCCTTTGTCAGCCAGCATCCCCCAGACAGTGCCTAGACACAGCTCAGCAGGCAACGTGGACCTCTCCTGGCTCCTCAGGACTTCCTACACCAGCTACTTTTTAAAAACATTTCACTTTCAATGGGTCTCTGAAGGTTAAATTACCTGCCTTGAGGCTGAGCCCTCACGACTTGTTGTTGTATATCAATGTCAAGTGAAAAAAACTTTGCAGAGCATTTCTGCACTATTGATCAACAAGAGTCTTTCCATGCCTACCTGTGTGCACATGCAACATCATGGTTCTGCATGGGCTGGGGTTTAGCTCCTGTGCTGTGGGGCTACCTACTCTGCCTCAATCATGGGGGCCAAAGATGTCCTTGGCACACACAAGGTGTAGAACACAGGAGACAGAGGTGTTGAAGATCTGCCCTTTGCCTGACACAGAAGCACTCACCTAGGGTAGAAAGGGGAATAGAAATAAAGAGGAAGATGGACCATGAGTAACTTTGCAACACAGTGACTCATGGTCCATCACCCAAAGGTGTCACTGAAGATTTCTGAGAAAATATGAAACAGCTTTAGTGGTCTAATTCTAGATAGTAGATCTAGGAATAGTCTTTGAGGGACTTACTTAAAATTTATGCCACATCTTCCCCAATGTCTTGTAGGGGGTAGTCCAGGCAGTTGTTTTTCCATCATGCTGCTTTCTTGGGTCCCTGGTCACACCAGTGAATCATGAGCAAAGCACTTAGAGGCTAAGAGGAGGCCCAGTGAGGATCCCAGCATTTCCGTCCTTCTGGGAACTGAGCCTTCATATGATAAAAAGCACCAGAATCCAGGGAGACAGATCCTATGGAGGACAGCAGAAACTATCTAGCTTTGTTTCTAGTTGTGATTCTGAAATCTGGTCTCTCACATAAGGAAAGAAAGAGGGAGGTGGAAAGTTATCCTACTTCAGAAAAAGCAAGACCAGCACTTACAGATGGGAAATGTCTGTTAAGCAAAACTGGGTGTGAAAAGGAGT